TAAAGTGGGAGTTGTCACAGTTGCTCTTTGCTGATGACACTGTGCTCTTGGGAGATTCTGAAGAGAAGTTGCAGAGATTGGTGGATGAATTTGGTAGGGTATGCAAAAGAAGAAAATTAAAAGTGAATACAGGAAAGAGTAAGGTTATGAGGATAACAAAAAGATTAGGTGATGAAAGATTGGATATCAGATTGGAAGGAGAGAGTATGGAGGAGGTGAATGTATTTAGATATTTGGGAGTGGACGTGTCAGTGGATGGGTCTATGAAAGATGAGGTGAATCATAGAATTGATGAGGGGGAAAAGGGTGAGTGGTGCACTTAGGAGTCTGTGGAGACAAAGAACTTTGTCCTTGGAGGCAAAGAGGGGAATGTATGAGAGTATAGTTTTACCAACGCTCTTATATGGGTGTGAAGCATGGGTGATGAACGTTGCAGCGAGGAGAAGGCTGGAGGCAGTGGAGATGTCATGTTTGAGGGCAATGTGTGGTGTGAATATAATGCAGAGAATTTCGTATTTGGAAGTTAAGAGGAGGTGCGGGATTACCAAAACTGTTGTCCAGAGGGCTGAGGAAGGGTTGTTGAGGTGGTTTTGGACATGTAGAGAGAATGGAGCGAAACAGAATGACTTCAAGAGTGTATCAGTCTGTAGTGGAAGGAAGGCGGGTAGGGGTCGGCCTAGGAAAGGTTGGAGGGGGGGGGTAAAGGAGGTTTTGTGTGCGAGGGGCTTGGACTTCCAGCAGGCATGCGTGAGCGTGTTCGATAGGAGTGAATGGAGACAAATGGTTTTTAATACTTGACGTGCTGTTGGAGTGTGAGCAAAGTAACATTTATGAAGGGGTTCAGGGAAACGGCAGGCCGGACTTGAGTCCTGGAGATGGGAAGTACAGTGCCTGCACTCTGAAGGAGGGGTGTTAATGTTGCAGTTTAAAAACTGTAGTGTAAAGCACCCTTCTGGCAAGACAGTGATGGAGTGAATGATGGTGAAAGTTTTTCTTTTTCGGGCCACCCTGCCTTGGTGGGAATCGGCCAGTGTGATAGTAATAATAAAAAATATTTTGAAATTGGCATCTCTTGAAATTTGTGTGAAATTGACCAAACTACCAATTTCTGACCACTTTGTTGGGTAGTTGAAATATGCAGTTGAAATGGGCAGTGTCTTGTACTCATTTGACAGAGGTAGAAGGAATAATAGTGAAATAGCTATGAGTTTGGTAGACTGGAACAATGGAATAGACCAAAATTTGGGCGTAAAGTGGGTGAAATCGCTGATGCGTAAATATCACTGTTGGGTTTAAGTGTATTCTAACCTAACCACTCTGTAATCCAGCAAAATCACTAATCCAGCACCCTGCAGGTCCTGATGATGCTGGATTAGTGATGGTCAACCTGTAATATCCTTTAGTTTCATTTGTGCCACCCTCTTCCCTCAGTTTAGTTACAAGCAGAACAGCTGAACACTGCAGAGTTACCATTGTTACCATCCTCAATACTTAACCAATATTGCATCTCTTTTCAAGCAGATTTTTGTTTTTAACACTAGCTGTCTTCCAGCAAGGTAAGGTGGACTGAAAAAGAGGAAACATTCATCGTTATTCATTGAATCAATGTCTTGTCTTGTTAAGAACGTGCTGACGTTACAGTTCAGATGATTCTCTGAACTGCAGCACCCTCACCCTTCCTTTAGAGTGCAGGTGCTGTACTTCCTGCCTCCAGGACTCAAGACTGGCTAACTTGTTTACTCTGAATCTTTCCATAAATGTTACCTTAGAGTCACTATTTTAACCCAAATACAAGATCAGAGGGTAGCAGTTCCCATAATACACTGTGTGGGGCAGAATTCCTTTTCATACTGCACTGACCCATTCTCTCATGTTTAGGCCAAAATTTACTGATCACAGCATATTTGAGGGCACTAGACAAACCTGGCCCAGGGCCAGGCTTTAGTAGTAGGAAAACTCGAAACTCGTCAAAGGTATGATTAAAATGTATATACATATGTAAGTGCCACTGGCCTCAAGAATGTATGTATATGCAGGAGATGGTGAAAGGGTTAACCATTTACCAGGCAGGTTTGTGAAGCTGGTAGTGTGCAGCTAACTGTGGAACACATTTTAACTTTGCCCACAAGAGCTCTTTCTGCTTTTATCGTGGTTTTTAGTTGTTGTACTGTGGTTCCTGTAAGGATCTTGGAAACTTTCAAGAGCCTTGGCATGAACTGTTTAATGGGATTTTTTAATTGATTCTGGGTATTTTAACTTGGTGTTATAGTATTTATTCATGCTATTAGGGCAATGTGTGGTGTAAATATTATGCAGAAAATTCGGAGTGTGGAAATTAGGAAAAGGTGTGGAGTTAATAAAAGTATTAGTCAGAGGGCAGAAGAGGGGTTGTTGAGGTGGTTTGGTCATTTAGAGAGAATGGATCAAAGTAGAATGACATGGAAAGCATATAAATCTATAGGGGAAGGAAGGCGAGGTAGGGGTCGTCCTCGAAAGGGTTGGAGAGAGGGGGTAAAGGAGATTTTGTGGGCAAGGGGCTTGGACTTCCAGCAAGCGTGCGTGAGCGTGTTAGATAGGAGTGAATGGAGACGAATGGTACTTGGGACCTGACGATCTGTTGGAGTGTGAGCAGGGTAATATTTAGTGAAGGGATTCAGGGAAACCGGTTATTTTCATGTAGTTGGACTTGAGTCCTGGAAATGGGAAGTACAATGCCTGCACTTTAAAGGAGGGGTTTGGGATATTGGCAGTTTGGAGGGATATGTTGTGTATCTTTATACGTATATGCTTCTAAACTGTTGTATTCTGAGCACCTCTGCAAAAACAGTGATTATGTGTGAGTGTGGTGAAAGTGTTGAATGATGATGAAAGCATTTTCTTTTTGGGGATTTTCTTTCTTTTTTGGGTTACCCTGCCTTGTTGGGAGACGGCCAACTTGTTGAAAAAAAAAAAAAATTAGATTGATAGCTAATTTTACCTTGAATGTTCATAGGTGTTATTGTTTTTCTTATTGCCAAGAGCACTGAATGATCACACCCTGGTCAAAGCCCTCTTAAATCTCAAAACTTATCTTCACACATGCATAAATGGAATATAAACAAAAAATGTACAGAATTTGGTAAACTGTTATTGAGAGTGCAGGTGTTGATCAAGGGTACTCTATTCTGGTGGAAGTAATAGTTGGTGATGGTGCCTATGTACCCACAGACAACAGACAGCAAGAATAGTAAATATTGCAGTAGATAAGATGAGATAAAAAGAGTTGGAAATGAGTGGGGCTTTCCTAGCATGGGCTTATAAGTTTCCAGCAGTGTTCCTCTGTTCTTATGCTAAACAAAGAGTGAGTAGGAGCAAGTAGACTAACTGTAGTACTCCTTTTGTTTTATATTTTGCTTTGTCATAAGTAATTTTTGTTTTCAGTGCTATTTTTTCAAGTTTGGCTGGAATATTTTCCACATTCAAGCCATTTGACTTTTTTAAGTCTCAAAAACTAGAGTAGATTACATGAGAAAAATTGGGAAATCCTTGGCAGAAAGACAGGGATTGACCCATACACAACTTCAAGTTATACTAGAATATGTATGGTAAATAAATGACTTGAAAAATATGTATCATATGAGACTGAAATGTATGAAGAAGTTTTAGTCTGACTCATACCATTAACTAGTTGCACAGATGTTTCCAGAGACTAATCCATTTCCTGCTCCTCATGTCCTCTCCAATACTTTAAGAGAAACTGCCTGCTCTTCCTGAGACTTCAAGAACACAAAAGAAATGTTAGCCTTGCCAACACTAACAATGCCCTTTTTTGTCATATTATAGATCCGAGTCATCTTGTTAACTGGCCCTCTGCATTCACAAATGCCATCTTGTTAAATCATCCTTGTACATAAATTTCTTAATATGAATCATAGTCTTGGCTTTGTCTCTGTAGATGCCTTCTTTTCTTATTACACTATCAAATGCTCCAAACTTCAGAATACTCATGACTTTATCTGATCTTTATCTTCTTTTCTTACCTCTTCTCCTTTCCTATATTTTATTTGCCTTTCCTGTTTTCTGCCTATGTGGGTCCTGTTCTATGGGGGTTTTGTCCTGCTGCTGCTGCTGCTGCTGCTGCTGCCGCCCCCTCTTGTATGTATCCTGGCTCTCTTCTCTTCATATTTCTGTGTTGATGGTCCAAGTCAGACCAAAACGTTATCGTAAATTTGCCTATGAGCAGAGTATTTGTGTATTGTTCCAGTCATGGTATTCTGCCTTTTTATTCATCTGATCATTATTTGGGCTGAAAATTAAATTCTTCAAGTCAAACTTAGATAGTACAGTATTTTAAAATTTACTAGCATTAATAAAATATACTACTACTACATGTGAATGTTAAGCTACAGTAATATTTTTGTTGTTGGAAATAGTGTACAAAATCTTAGCACATTTGTAGGTTTTGTAGTTAGCCTTGGCTTCTAAAAAATTGTATGGTATTTATGATAGCCTCATGCCTCAGGGCTTCCTTCTTATTCAACTAGACTGCTGAAAGGTTCTTCTCCATGTAAGTCAGTAAGTAAGTAAGTTTATTCAGGTATACACAATACAGTTACATAGATTATCATACATAGCAGCATATGTGTAGAGAACCTAGGATAATCAGTCAGAGTGATTTATTTCCATTGGGGTTCTTTAGTTGTATATGTACATATTTGCATATTTTTATTACCAACCACCATGCTCAAAGTCTTCATTGACCATTTTCTTCCATTTTACATTGTATTTCTATCTTATGTTTTTACACCTCTAGACACTTCTGCCTAATTCCTCTCACCCATTTTTTCATTTATTCTTCTTAGATTTTTTTAGATTTTCCCTTGTATTTTCAATATGATTTCTTTTTTGTAGATTAAGAAAAACTTTGGGCAGGCAGCCCTCATTGTAAATTTTTGTGGATATTGCAATTATTTTTATTATAAATAAATTTGTCTAGAGGTTAATTGCTCCATTTATTTCAGGATCCATGTGCATGGTGCATTGGTAATTTATGTGGAGCACATGTGAGTGTATGCAAGTTGTTGATGACTCAAGGAGTTGAGGATAGCTTGATAAATCTACTTAATTCTCATTCACCACATGTATTGCAATCTACAGCATATGCTTTAATGCAGTACCTCTCAACTGTTCCTGAAAGAATTAAGTAAGTTCATATAAGTATACAGCATATTTCCTAATATTCACAACTTGTATACTGCTCTAATTAATACTGGTAAACATTTGATCTTTCCTTAGATTTAATATTTAATATAAGCCAATGGCATGTGTGTCAGCTTCTCCTTGCTCTACTGGTCAATGGCATGTGTGTCAGCTTCTCCTTGCTCTACTGGTCAATGGCATGTGTGTCAGCTTCTCCTTGCTCTACTGGTCAATGGCACGTGTGTCAGCTTCTCCTTGCTCTGCTGGTCAATGGCATGTGTGTCAGCTTCTCCTTGCTCTACTGGTCAATGGCATGTGTGTCAGCTTCTCCTTGCTCTACTGGTCAATGGCACGTGTGTCAGCTTCTCCTTGCTCTACTGGTCAATGGCATGTGTGTCAGCTTCTCCTTGCTCTACTGGTCAATGGCACGTGTGTCAGCTTCTCCTTGCTCTACTGGTCAATGGCATGTGTGTCAGCTTCTCCTTGCTCTACTGGTCAATGGCATGTGTGTCAGCTTCTCCTTGCTCTACTGGTCAATGGCATGTGTGTCAGCTTCTCCTTGCTCTACTGGTCAATGGCATGTGTATCAGCTTCTCCTTGCTCTACTGGTCAATGGCACGTGTGTCAGCTTCTCCTTGCTCTACTGGTCAATGGCATGTGTATCAGCTTCTCCTTGCTCTACTGGTCAATGGCATGTGTGTCAGCTTCTCCTTGCTCTACTGGTCAATGGCATGTGTGTCAGCTTCTCCTTGCTCTACTGGTCAATGGCATGTGTGTCAGCTTCTCCTTGCTCTACTGGTCAATGGCATGTGTGTCAGCTTCTCCTTGCTCTACTGGTCAATGGCATGTGTGTCAGCTTCTCCTTGCTCTACTGGTCAATGGCATGTGTGTCAGCTTCTCCTTGCTCTACTGGTCAATGGCACGTGTGTCAGCTTCTCCTTGCTCTACTGGTCAATGGCATGTGTGTCAGCTTCTCCTTGCTCTACTGGTCAATGGCATGTGTGTCAGCTTCTCCTTGCTCTACTGGTCAATGGCATGTGTGTCAGCTTCTCCTTGCTCTACTGGTCAATGGCATGTGTGTCAGCTTCTCCTTGCTCTACTGGTCAATGGCATGTGTGTCAGCTTCTCCTTGCTCTACTGGTCAATGGCACGTGTGTCAGCTTCTCCTTGCTCTACTGGTCAATGGCATGTGTGTCAGCTTCTCCTTGCTCTACTGGTCAATGGCATGTGTGTCAGCTTCTCCTTGCTCTAACTGGTCAATGGCATGTGTGTCAGCTTCTCCTTGCTCTACTGGTCAATGGCATGTGTGTCAGCTTCTCCTTGCTCTACTGGTCAATGGCACGTGTGTCAGCTTCTCCTTGCTCTACTGGTCAATGGCATGTGTGTCAGCTTCTCCTTGCTCTACTGGTCAATGGCATGTGTGTCAGCTTCTCGTTGCTCTACTGGTCAATGGCACGTGTGTCAGCTTCTCATTGCTCTACTGGTCAATGGCAATGTGTGTCAGCTTCTCTTGCTCTACTGGTCAATGGCATGTGTGTCAGCTTCTCTTGCTCTACTGGTCAATGGCATGTGTGTCAGCTTCTCCTTGCTCTACTGGTCAATGGCATGTGTGTCAGCTTCTCCTTGCTCTACTGGTCAATGGCATGTGTGTCAGCTTCTCCTTGCTCTACTGGTCAATGGCATGTGTGTCAGCTTCTCGTTGCTCTACTGGTCAATGGCATGTGTGTCAGCTTCTCCTTGCTCTACTGGTCAATGGCATGTGTGTCAGCTTCTCGTTGCTCTACTGGTCAATGGCATGTGTGTCAGCTTCTCCTTGCTCTACTGGTCAATGGCATGTGTGTCAGCTTCTCCTTGCTCTACTGGTCAAATCCTTTTGGGTTTCTCTTCTATTAGAAGGTTTTCTTTCATACTTTAATGTTTTAATGCCACAAGTGATCTTATTGCTTCCATAGTTTTGCATTTTTACTAACATTCCCATTCAGAAGTTGCAAATAATGTGAGATCTGTGACTAGCACATACCTTTGCCTTTGATATACCTTTGATGAGTATTGAGTGTGTTTCTACTCCCAGAGTCAGATCATGGGCCAGGCTCATCTTTACAATCTTCTGGTATGTTTATCAAATATTGACTGTATAATTCTTGCTTATATTTATTTTGTCTTGGGCATTACATACCTAGTAGACTATAATTATTAGCCTTATGTAGAGATTAATTTCTGGTATTTAATTCAAATAAGAAAGCTTGTGTGTCTTCCTCAACCATTTATGTACCTTTCACTATCTTGAAATATTTTTAGATAACATTTTTTAGGCTAACCATAACTCACATACTAATCAATGCATCTTAAAACTTGCAATGTTTTTGGAGAGTTTTCCTCCATATTTATTATTGTAATCAAAGAATATGCTGGTACAGTAAGCTACAATATGTAGTTCAAATTCATGTAAACTCAATTAAAGAAGTGCATCCAAAATATCCATAGTGTGCATAACAACCTCTAGAATATACATCATAAATAAAAAAAAAGTGATATGTGAAATTTGGGTAGTACTGTACCCTCCATAGATTTTCTAAATCTGCTTACTAGGCCTCACATAGTGGCTCCCAGCTTCCCACCATACTTGCTAAATAAGTGCAAATAATGTCCATTAGACAGCATTTTTCTTTTCCTAATTAATATTTTATGTAAGCTATAAATTTTCAACCCTTTTAGGGTTCATGCCATTGTCCTACGGGTTTAAAACCAGGGGCCGTGCCGTAGTACCACGTGATGAGCTTACTCACTCGGATAAGCTGTGAGCATTAAATTTGGGCCTAGGTATGAGAGAATGGGTCTATGTGGTAAGTGAGCACCATACAAAAAAATCTTGCAGTATGCAGGGCATAACGAGAAAAAAAACTGTGACCCTGTTTTTGGTTTAAAATGGGGACTTTGGGTGTACAGTATTTTTGCATGTTTTTTATGGATGTATTTACAGTTTCTTGTTCTCATTTAATAGAATGGAAGATATACTACAGAAATAAAGATGATTTTGATTGGTTTTATGACTGAAAATAGCTTGAAATTGAGCTCAAAGTAGCAGAAATGTTTGATTTTTGCTGATGTTCAGGAGTAAGCAAATCATATCACACATCAACTGGTGGGTCTAATATGCATTTATGAATGTGCTGATATTATTTATATAATTATTACAATATTGTATAACAATAACTCTTCTATTTTTTGAAGTGAAGAAAAATTCTTTGGGTGAATAAAAAATCAAAATGGAATTCATGTGTAAAGCCTGGAAGCACAACTAATGAGCAGAGGAAATATTATTTTAGTGCCAGAAATGCTCGCATTGTTTATTCTGGACCCTATTTTGAAATTGAAATATTCTGAAATTTGTGTGAAATTGGCCAAATTACCAGTTTCTGAAGAGTTTATTGGATAGTTGAAATAGTTGATTAGGCAGTTTCTTGTGCTAAGTCGATAAAATAGTAGGCATATTAGTGAAATAGCTTAAGAATTTGGTTGACTGGAACAGTGTAATTGGCCTAAAGTAGGAGTCAAAGTGGGCAAAATCGCCTATGCATTAGTATTGTTGACATGGCAAAATTTGCAATAGCATAATTTCATCAGTTTTTCATCAGATTTCGTACTTTTTGTTTTATTGCCTTCAGAAAAACATTCTCTACCATTTCATAAGAAAAAATAACAAAAAATTTTTTTTTTTAAATTCTTGTACCCTGTGGACAAGTTTCAGATTGGAGGTCTGGACACTGAAAGGGTAATTTATGAAATAAACAATGAAATATTTGAAAAGAACATGAGGATCATATCATGAAGTAATATATTCACATACTGAATATACTGAATCCTCAAAAGTTTTACTGAAGACTTAGTTTGTATTATTAACCCCCAATGATTAGTAACCTTAAAGGTAGTAGGTTGGTAGACAGCAACCACACAGGGAGGTACTACTGTCCTGTCAAGTGAGTGTAAAATGAAAGCCTGTAATTGTTTTACATGATGATAGGATTGCTGGTGTCTTTTGTCTGTCTCGTTAATATGCAAGATTACAGGTACGTCTTGCTACTTCTACTTACACTTAGGTCACACTACACATACGTGTACAAGCATATATATACACACCCCTCTGGGTTTTCTGCTATTTTCTTTCTAGTTCTTGTGTATTTCCTCTTATCTCCATGGGGAAGTGGAACAGAATTCTTCCTCTGTAAGAGGCAACTAAAATGCCGGGAGCAAGGGGCTAGTAACCCCTTCTCCTGTATGTATTACTAAATGTAAAAGGAGAAACTTTCATTTCTCCTTTTGGGCCACCCTGCCTCGGTGGGATATGGCTGGTGTGTTGAAAGAAAGAAGAAGAAAGATTAGTAACCTGCTCCATGCAGTGTATGATAGGAAAAGCAAAACTGACCATATACAGTGGACCCCCGGTTATCGGCAGGCTTTTCAGCGCTCAGTTATCGGCTGCTAATTCGGTTATTGGCCGTTAATTTGGTTATTGGCCATTTGGGACGCGTCTATCCGCTGCCTGGGGCCGCTTTCACGTCAGTTTGGCTTTGTCTCTCGGTGGCTGAGGAAGCTTCTGCTCATACATCCAAACATTTTGCTTGTTTTCCATTGTTTTTAGTGTTTGTTTTTTTCTGCAGTGCAACTATGAAATAAGTAACCATGGGTCCAAAGAAAGTTCCTGTGGTAAAGAAAGTGAGAAACACCATGGAATTTAAGCGTGAAGTGATAGAAAAGTTTGAGTGGTATGAAGGTGGCGGAACTTGCCAGGATGTACAGCAAAACTAAATCAACAATTACATCCATCCTGGCAAAGAAAGAACATATCAAAGATGCTAGTGTTGCAAAAGGAGTAACTTTTCTAACTAAACAAAGGCCACCAGTAATGGAAGAGATGGAAAAATTATTATTATTGTGGATTAAGGAAAAAGAATTAGTGGGAGACAGTGTTGTGGAGTCTATCATTTGTGAGAGGCAAGGCAGTTG